AAATGACTAAATGCCTATAGTGGAAAACAATTCGTCATCTTCTCTTCGATCCATTGGATAGAAAACAACTGATCAACCAAACCTGTGGTGTGTGTCGTAAAGCATCATCACAAACAAATCCACTATTTGAATTATATTTGATATAATTTCCATCCTAGAATTCTCTCAGAAATAACTCGCTATTTCGATTATTTAATCTTACAATGAAACGTTCCAAATGGTAATAAGGTCGGCCAGGACGATCTTGGAATTCTAATACACTCATTTGAACAATGTCAACCTTTTCGAAAAACCGCTCATTTCTAACAATGCAAAGAAAAACACATTCATTACTTTTTTTGGTGGGTTATGTCGATTATAATGTGTTCCCCATAATTTGGTTGTCATTTGCATCATTACATCATCGAAATAACGTGACATAGGAACATCGTCGATGTACCGTTTGGCGATATAATTACTCGAATGATCCCAATCATGATGTGCCGAGAAAATCGAGAACTTTTTTCTAAATCAGAGTAGAACTAATTCGCATTAAACTATGTCTACGAATAACATACAATCGGAAACATTCTCTCATGCTTCCATGTGCAAATGGTTTCGATTCGATTTTGATTTTAATTTGACTAATGTGCCAAGTTCGCTTCACTGGATCGAATTCATGTCGAGTGACGTTTTCCTCGGGATACTGATCAATAACAAAGTCATGCCTAGAGGTCATGTTTTAGAAAATGCTGCTGAAGAAGAAAGGATGACATACCATGGATCTTTGAGAAGCACCGCTTTTTTAACAGCATTTCTCCAGCGAACGAGACTATTCGTTTTTGACCGACGTCGTAAACGATGTTTAGCACGAAAATTCGACATACCGATAATCTGATCACTGGAGTCCTTTCCATTGGTTGGTGGCAGACTGGTCGTGTTCAGAAGTGCATCGCTCTCGGTGAGAGGTAACATATTTTCCCATTCATCATTCATCGATGAATGTGAACGTTCACGTTTTTCAACTCGATCCATGGATGAACTGAGTTGAATGCCTTCATCTGATGATGGAGAAACTTCGTCGATCTTTTCTTTCGATGTATCTTCATCATCTAGTGCTCCGAAAATAAGATCGTCATCGTCATCGCCTGCTTTTTCACTTGATTTTCTGTTTGTAGATTGATTTGTTTCATGTTTAACGATCGATGATGATACGTTGACATTAAATACTTTATTGATTGCTTGTTGAGTCATGGTTTAATTGCTAATATTCATCTGTTAAATGGAAATGAGAAGAATTGAATGACTGTTAAATGTAATCGTCTGATTGTGATTGTATTGATAATATATACAATTAATTTATTGTTGAAGTTGAATTGTCGAGTTAACTATTAACAGTTGTTGAACGAAAATCAAAATGAAAGTTTATTCCCATTAATCAGTAGTTCAAAGTACCCAGTTGATCCAACTTTTATCATAAAGCGTTCGTTGTTGCTATTATTATTTTCAAGGTATCGTAGCTAATATTTATTCTTTTCTTCTGCTCTGTTGAAGGAAAGAGGGAGACAGCGGCTGGACAAACATTTTAACCAATGTATTAAATCCACAGTAGAGAAAGCCAAGATTCGATTCGCTCAGATTTTTAACCATTCGAGTTCAATCGATGAGTCATGATGCTACTTGTAATACTGACTAACTATACTAGTTTGAATGTCAATAGAAAAAGGAAGTAAATCTGAATTTTTACTTGTATCTTGATCTAACAGTTAACACGTATGTCTTAAATGTATTCAAACTTTGACTACTCAATTGATTTCTGAGCATGGAATCACTTGCTGGTGTCACAGCACCTCGTATATCAAATTCAGGGGGTAAGCTTCTCGATGAAACGCCCAATGAAGCGGAAACCGATGCACTTCGAACCATTCAAGCTAAATTAGAAAAGCCAGAGGATTTAGAAAGACTCGATCAATTACAAACAGCAGCTTTCCAACGAAAGGTTTCGATCTTCAACTGAAAAAGAGAAGTGTTCTTCTATTTCATTATCTTCTAGTGTGCTCTCGATGAGCAATTGCGCACAGCAGTGCAATCTCAGTTGGAAGATATAAATACTGGCATCACTCAATTACAAAACTCCCTACATAGTATGAGAATGATCGAACATAAAATATATGAAACAGATGCGATATTACAGAAAATAATCTCATTACAATCAAAGCTGGACGAATTACGTCACGAAGCAGATACTTATCAGTAAAACTGAAATGTTCGCTAATGATGAAATCGTTTCTATGGTAAATTTTAGACAATTAGCACGTGCTCAAGCTAATCTTGATCATATTATCAGAACACCTGAAAACGTGAACAAAACAGATGATTTATTGGCTCACGAAAAGCTTCTTCAAGCTCATCAACTGGTAATGGAGATTGAAAATACTCGCAACTATCTACTCTTTGAATTGCATCGAGCTCAAGACAAAGATTCCCACGCCGATGACATTCAACTAGTGAGCAAATATTTTGCTGATCATCAAAGACTTGTTCGACAGTTGGAACAATCGATATCATTCCGAATTTCTCAATGGTATCATAGTGTGATCAGTGCACCGGAACAATTAGTAACAGCATTACGACTTATTGAACGTGAAGAACAGTATGTGTAGATTTTGATATAAGAAAAGAAGCATTCGTAAGAGTGTGGTGCGATTTTAGAGTAGATCGATTTTGGGCGCAGAAGAAAGAATTGACTGGATTTAGTCCACCGGATCGACCAAGACAATGGAGAATGCTTTGTTTTGAATTGTTAAGAAAGAGTGTCAAACATCGGTAGGCTAAAAACATATATATCATCGCTGTTGTTTGCTTCTATGTTGATATTGATTTAGAATCGAAGGAATTCAGCTGGAAACAAAAGAAGAAGAGCAATGCTGGTTAACACGACATTTCGATAGATGTCGACTAATGTTTGTACAAGATTTCCGAATCATTACAGTATGAGATCCATCAAAACTCTTCAACAAGCAAATAAGTTTGCGTTCGTTCTAGAAAAATTGCTCACGTTGTTTTCCAAAACAGTATGATATTGTCAATCGTTTTCTTGGGTACTATCATAATTGTTTGAAAGAACATATTACTGAAATATGTGATCCAAAACAACGAAATGAAGGCGAGGCATTAACAATTGCAGAAGTATTTGCTCTACTAACATTTGTTCATGATTATCAGTAAGATTCTTTCTTCGAAATCTGATTTCTTCTATTTTGTTTTCGATTATAGAGATACTGAATGTTTACGGAATCCAGAGTTACGATTAGACATCAGTCATTTGTCTCCATTATTAGAAAAAGATCTGTCAGTAGCCGTTACAGATGTGTTCATCAATGAAATGAAACGGAAAGTTGCAGAATGGATGTCAAACACCATATCGAGAGAAACTAAGGTGTGTTTCGAAGATTTGACTAAACACATTCAAATTTGATCGTTTAGGATTGGTATGCATTGACAAAAGTTGATTTAACTTCGGATCATTATTATTATACACCAATGCCACGAACGCTAAATAATCTAATTATTCAAACGCTGGATATGGCAAAGAGAATGTCGAATGAAATATGTCAAATAACTCTCGAAATGATTTTAGAAAAACTGAATGAATTTCATATTTCATATATGAATGAAATAGATCTTTACAAAAAAAAGTACTTCGCTGATCGTCAATCCTTTGGAGACTGTTTCACCAAACAAATGGTTGCTAATGCAAATGATTGTGAATCTATGTCAACCGTTATAGATATTCTTCGAAACTATGATCGTAATGATTTAGATGATCTATCATTTTCATCACAACAACAATTGAACCGATATGAAAACATAGCGAAAGCGTTCAAACAAATAGCTAAGTCATGCTGTGACATTATTCTACAAGAAATCGAAGTAGATACATCAAATTCTCTTAAAGGATTATTCACACGCGAATGGTTAAGTGCCACAGCTAAATCACATTGTGGAACGATTATTGAAACAACCCGTGATTATTGGAGTTCAGAATTAACACATTTGAAAAAAGCTCTATTAGCTTATCTCTTCTATACATGGCATAAACATATCTTAGCGCGTTATTTACGAAATGTACTCTCACAGAGTATAACAATCAAATTCGAACGGCCTCATGAACGACGTCGGTGTGCTGCACAACTACGTAGCGAGGCTAGTTTACTTGACAAAGAATTCAACTCATGGATCGGAAGGTCATCTGAAGATGCAATTGAATATCATTTTCATATTTTGAGTAACATAGGTGATATTCTCGAACAAACAGATTTGGATTCTATTGTTCTGGAATTAGCAACATTAGCGAAGAAATATCCAAGTTTAACGAAGGAACAGGTTATTCAAATTTTAATATTACGTGGTGATTTCACTAAACAAGAAGCTAGAGACAAAGCTGATGCTGCTCTAGCAAACATGCCTCGCGTCAATCAAGGTATTCTCTCCGAAGTTTCAGAAATTATCAATCAAATTAAATAATTTTATGCGCTTTCGTTTTTTTTTTACACTAATGATTTTTATTCACGATCTGATTACATACTTCTATTTATTCCACTAGCTAATGAACTAGTTCGTTATTTCTTTTCTATACACACTCGATAACCTATAAAAAGGAAGATTTTGTCCTTTACCACACAGTCTCTATCTATTCTCTCTGAAGGGTCATAGAAACCGTTTGATCGAGGGTAAAACATCATTTCGTACGTAATATAATCTCTGATTGTTCCAGTTATGGTCATCAATATTGATAAATATGTTTCGCACGAGAGAATCTCGAATGAATTCTTATTTATAGTAACATACAATGATGCACTGCATCTTTGAACAGATGAATGTAGAAATGAACTTTCACGAATAACATTTTCACTATCAATGACCGAAACGAAATGTATTTCTCGATGATATTTCATCAGAAAGTCGAAAAAAAAGCGAAATCATCAAACAATCACACAGACTTCTCATCATTGCATGAAATGTTCTTTTGGTTTCTTCTTCTTCTTTTTCTCTCGCAATTCATCGAATCCACTCAATCGTCAGAGAATTGCAGTATTGAATACGATCGATACAAACGAAGTTATGGATACTCACTGACTTATCATTGTACAAATCTGCCCTTACTTTCCCATGGATTATTACAAACTAAAGATATTGCAGACAAGAAATTGCCATTGAAAATCACTTCGAGTCCGAATCTTCGTATTCGACAAGAAATATGCGGTGAAAATCATCAACAATATTTACTAGGTTTGTTAATTGAATCATCGCATATTCGTTCAGTTGAATCACGAGCATTCTCTTGTCGAACGTTACGTGTTCTTTCAATAAGCGATACGCAATTTGCATCATCTATTGTACCAGATGATATTTTTCTTGATGCTTTTCAATTACAAACACTTCGTCTGGTCAATGTCAACCTCCAACGGTTACCAACATCATTGGAAAGTTTATCCAATCTAACCGAATTAATTCTCGATGAAATGCATTCGTTGGTTGCCTATCCAGCGATTGAAGATCTGTATAGTTTACGTTATTTTCATATTTTTACAAGTTTAAACTATTTTCCATTGCATTATATCGAAGATTTGAATAGTTTATCACATATTCAAATCATTCATTTCGGGAGTCGAACGATCGATATCTTTCCTCGAGAATTATTTCATTTGAATGGTTATCAATTGACGGATGTTAGTTTGTATTCGGAAAATATCACGTGTCAATCATGTAAAACGGATTGGTTTAAAACAATTGTCAAAACATTGATGCTCTATGGTTGGACTAATCGAACTACAGAACAGTTTACAAATAAAAACTTTCATTTAATTACAAAAACATCGTAAGCATCGAATATTTCTTCTTTTCCATTCTAATAACTCTATTTTCTCTTTTAGACAATTCTATAAATTGGATATTATTGCTTATTGTGGTGATATGCGATTAGGTGAAGAACCCTTGATGGTTCACAATGCACCGTTATGCTGCAATAAAGGTTACTTTCGTTGTGCACCTGAACACTCCGTCTGTCAACGGTTGAGTCACACATTTTCACGTTGTAAATGTGTACATGGTTATTATGAAGATAGTTTTGGCGATTGTATTTTAAACTAGATATGTGCGGAAGGAAAATATGGAAGAGATGAACTTTTATTGAAGTACAGCAGAAAAAGAGATGATTCAATAAAGTTAATGATGAGACATTTTATCATCACGATGATGTTTTTTGCCATCGCGATGCTTTTTGTGTTGATCTTTGCTTTGTTTTCTGTCTTTATGCTTACGATCACGTTGAGATGAACGATCCCGATGGCGATTCGATGGTGAATTATGATCGCGCGATTTTGAATGTGAACGATCACGGCCACGGTCGCCAGAAGGTGAACGATGATCATTTCTGCCAGCCTCCGGATGATGACGACGTGGTTGACCATTTCTCTCGTGAATCATACCTTTTTGATTCGGACCTTTCTTATGGTGCATATCGTCAGCATTAACATTCTCTACAGAGATAAAAGTTGTCAGGCAAACTGATCGAGTATAGGATGAATTACAAAATCTTACGAAAAACGAAAGCAAGGATGATTGCCAAGGCAAGGATATAAATCCAAAGTAAACGCATTGATTCGTTCGATGTGATATGAGTGTATGTGTGTGAATTGAGAATGTTAGGTAAAAATGAATTGTGTACGAGATTAAATATCTCTTCAGTTTATTTAAAATGAAAAGAGAGAGAGAGAGAAAAAAAATGGAGGTGTAGAGAGATACAAAAGAAAGAAAAGATAAAGATACAGACACCCAAATGAATGTTATTTTATCAGTTCGTCGTTTGACTATGCTGGTAGGAGAAACAAACTTGATGATTTACGTGACAACGACACTACGATAAATTTTACGATTATTTTGCACCTTCTCTTCATTTTGTCGAATAGGCGGAAATAAGCTTTCTTTTATCGGAGTTTTATTACGGTTTTGTTGTGAAAGACTAACTACAGTTGTTTTGTGAGCAGTTCGAGCTGGTTCCTGAACTGATCGTGTTGGTTCCTGTGATGAACGAATAGGCTCTTGACTTTTAACATACTGCTGTGCCTCTGTATGAATATTTTTCAATAATCGTCTGCAAACCAAAAGAAAATCAACGATACAAAAACGAGAAATTTGGTCAGCTTACGTTAATACGGTACTCTTCTTTTTTAAATAACTGTCATATGGGTCGCTTTTTTGTGTTGATGGTAGATTATTGACATTATTTACCTAGAAAGACACAGAGAAATGTACCACAAAGATAAGATATGTTGAGTGTTGCAGAGTTTTACTTTTAATCTTGCACCAACTTTAAATTTAAGATCAACGAGTTCACATGAAAATCTCAAGTAAATTTTTTCTTGCGAACAGACTTTTATCGCAATTTCCTCATTTAAATGAAACAGTATCGGCTGACACGGAGGAGCATGAATGTGTGGTTCCGATATTGAATTTTCTTTAGCCCACCAATGCCATCGACGACGTCGACTACCGTCCGAATTCAATTCGATTCCTTCAAGTGCTGTCAATTGTAATCTAAGAATATAAAATGCCGTAGTTCACCATAGCTAGGGAAATTGGTCTCGCGTACCTTAAATTACCATTAGTAAAATTACAGTATCCATTTCCGAAGGGATCGAATTGTGCTATTTGTCTGGATGCATATGATGGTTCATCAGTAAATGCCGTGTAGAGAAGCATCGCTCGAGCTACTTCGGAGATACTAACGGCCAGATTACCGGATGGGTAACTGATTGTCGAAAAGAACGTGATGAATACTGGTTTTTTGGAACGAATATTACTTACTAGAGAGAACCCGTTCCAGTGGAAAAAAGAATAGCTGCAGTTGTTCCATCTTTATAGAAACGTTGAACTAGCGGTCGTTCACTCTTCTGTTCACGAATACAAAAGGATGTTGACTATAAACATCTGTCTGATGAATTCAATTACTTTGAATGCTACCGTGGAAATATCTCGTGGTATTAAAATATGTTCTCCCAAGTCAGATTCTTCATCGGAGCTTAGTTCGAAATCAGTTGGTCCCTTCAATGTCCATCCTTCTTCCACATACTTCAGATTCGATAATTGATATGTGAATGTCTTCATTCTTGCTGCCACTAGACGAAAATGAGCGTTAGTTTCCTTCGGAAAAAACTATAAACAACGAACGACATAATCAAATATCAAGAGGAGAAGAAGAAGAGGTAGACGAATAACGAAAGTATTAATTTATCATTAGTATTACAACGAAGCACACTTACTAGCCGAGTCCGATTTGGCACTCGGTAGTTGTGAGCTAGTACGCACTGTTGATGCGCCACGATAAGATTTCGCTTGTTGAGAATTTCCTGTATACATATGAGAAAAGAGTCAATTCGAGATCTTTTCTTTCCAATCATGCTTTTCGAAACATGGATTCGGGAAACAAAGATCAAATAAAAATTGGACACACACGCAAGCATCAGAAGTAACTCAAGATTAGTAGATTTTTTTTGAAAAATACATTCAGCTCCGCTGGCATTTGCTGCAGCATTCTGAGCGCTTCTTGCTGTCATTCCATGATGTCTTCGTGCTTGACGGCCTGCATAAGTGTACATGAAAACATGAGAAAACGGTTCGAATACATCTTTCAATCGTATCAAGCTATTCTCATCTCATTGATCATATGGATAAAAGATAATATTTTGTACAATCGATGTATACGTACCCATGGCTTTCGGGTTGGTGCTGTTTGCAAATTCTTGTACTTGTTCTTCGAGACGTTTCTGTTCAGCTGCATTACGTTCCCAAAGTCTAGACAAGGATGTGAATAATGTTTAGAATCTTGTTCTCGTTGTTGTTCGACAAACCTTGCTTTCGCTCGTTCTTCTGCCAGCTGTCGAGCACGTCGGCTGCGAACTTTTGCATGTGGTTGTATATCGATTGGTTTTGAATCAAGTCGAGAGTTTTCTTCTTTCTGCATTTCAAGGACAGCTTCAACAAATTCTCGATATTCCGTACAACAGAACAGCTGAAAGTTCAGATGATACAAAAGTAATCATATTCGAACCATTGGATCTTACTTCACTCGGTGGAGAGGTCTCTTGTTCAACAATTGTTGGCCAGATTCGTAGTTCTTTTCCACAAAATTCACATGGAACACGTCCATAAACATGTACACCTAATTCACGCAGTTCATCTTCATTAATTTCTTCGTCTGTGCGAGGTAGATCATCTAATTTCTGTTTCGATTCTGGATTATACTATATAGGCCATTTAAACATAAGTGATCGAATAAAAACGTATGAAAATGTTGTACTGACCTGTAAAATAGGTGGTGGACCGACAGATGTGACAATCGGTAGTTCCGGTAATGACGTAGTCGTCGACTCAACTTGTTCCGGTGGCTTAAAATAAATAGGTCATTTGATTCAATAGATTATTGATTTTTGTTTACTTCTTCGACTTTTGAAACAGATTCAATTGGTTCGACATCGCTATCGGATTCCTCAGGTTCAGGCTCTTTTACTAATTAGAAAATCGAACGTAAATATTTGTGTTATTATACAAGCTGACGTAAATATTCACCTCGATATTTTTCGAGCATCTCCATATCCTTCCATGTCCAGTCTGTCTGAACACTAATTCTTAACAAAAAGAGATCTAATTTAACGAAAAAACCAATCATTTGAATGCGTTTGTATTCTTACGAGGCTGAATTTTTTGGGATTTTCTTCTGCCGTGTCCGTGTAGTTGGTTGACCTTCCGGTTTCTTTGGTTCTGTCAAAACATTGTCTATCGTGGCTGTCAGAGCAAAGACTTGATTCTGTTCGTCAGCTATCACGTCAGATACCGGAACCACTTGTTCTTCAAGAAGGGCAAGACATGCTTTTGATAGAAAGTTTTTATTTGATATGTTTAGATACAAACCGACATCATGGTGTGGTAGAGATGGTAAAGGAGATGATCTCTCCGTGGTTGCTTCACGTGATCGAAGAACTGCAAGTGAAAAGATCTATTGTCAATGGATATTTTGTTACTTTTTCATAGATGTACAGGAAGAATTCGACTGATAAGTACTTTATCGACAGTTTTTGTTTCGTTGACAAAAGGCGAGTAAAGAACAAGAAGAAGAAGAAGAAGAAGAAGAAGAAGAGAAAAAAAGAAACATGGCAACATAAACTTGATCGAAGTGTTGATGAAAGAAAAACATGGCTGAAGAAAACTAAAATTGCGTTTGCTTTGCTTCTTAATCGTCGCGTTTAATCAAGTGAGTAAACTGTTAAGTTGTTAAAACATTCTGACGACAACGAAATAGCCGAAGCAAAAATATTACTGCGAAGCATATGATTACTTGAATATTGAATGGTTAAAAGAGAAAACAAAACTGTTTAGATCCAACATAGATTGAATTTAATAAAGATAGAAACGAAACAAAGGAAGAATGGGTCATTATGGTAAACATATCATTGATCCGCAGACTGGCCTATGTGAGATATGTGATAAGAATGCTATTCAAGACTTTCGACAAGGAAAACGACTAGATCCACAAGTAAATTTTTTTTGTCTGTATTATTACAGTACTTTTCAACTGTCTTTCTTCTCAAGGATCCATACGAATACTCGGCGAATGGTGAACCGATGGGAAGTTACATTCGAAAATCTGTCAATTCTACAGTACCTCCTCCGATACAGGCACCATTGATGCCTCCCCAACCACGTCGTGTTGTCTTTGAAGACACTAATGAGCTACCGGCAATACCAAGACGTGTTGTTAGACATAGTTCTCTACCAACGAGAGAAGTTATCTATCGACCCTCACTCGCTTACGACAGTCAAGTATACCCTCAATACGGTACACCAGTATCCGGAAGACCAGTTCGTGTTGTAAAACAGTATGCGCAAACACCACCTCCACCAGCTAGTGCAGTGTGGGTTGCAGGACCGCGACGACAAACAAATTCTGGCGTAATTGTTCAACGAACGCCGCGCATCGCACGTGAACAAGTGTACTATCAGCCAGCTGCACCAAGCAATCTTGGAACACAATATGTCAGAGCTGGACCTACGATAGCTCATCAGACATCATTAAAGTCTGCTATTCCAGGACCACGTGTTTATCAAATAGAAGGAAACAGAAGACCGTATCAAGTCGAGCCCCTCGAACGCAGAGTTGTCGTTCAACCTCAACCAACTGTTGTGAGAAGAGTTTACAGAAAACTACCACCGGGTAAATATGATTCGCTATCATCTCGAAGCTTTAGAGTAAGCCCTCAGCCACCACCACCGCCACCACCAGTGCCTCAACAACCCATTGTTTATCATATTCGACTTGAAGATTGATTATAAACGAACATACAGGCTTTTGCATATCTTTTTCTCCCTCTTTTTTTGTATTGTATGATTTTGTAAATTATTTCAATAAAGATGATGAAGTCCGAACGCATGGAAAAAAAGAATTGTCGGATCAGAAAAATGTTTTCATTCCATACATTTCATCAACTACTTCAACACTAAAGTGATTAAAGAAGAAAAAAAGCTCGAAAATGACAAATTTTTTTTCTTTCAACATCATTTGTTTTTCTTCTGTGAAGAAGAGTCAAAGTGATCGTGAATGTTCAAAGGTTTCTGCCAATATCAAATGTCATTTCGTGAATACATATGTAAAAGAAGACAACAAAGTTTAGCCTTACTAGAACCAATCAAAACGAAACTTTTTTTCAATGATAATCAAATTTAAGTAGAAGGTTTTATTTGTCGAATTTCCATTTCAACGTATATTAAGTTATTTAATTATGCGACGTTATGTCACATTCACATTCAAATCGCTTAGCTACAGAAGAAAATTTAAGTCTTACCTTGATCGTTGTCGATTAGAAGTTTTGCTGCTGCAGTCGAATCGTCATCGGATGGCAATTGAGACATCGAGATCTAAAAACAAGAGTCGATTCGATTGAGCAATTGTTGGAAGATATAAAAAATCAGATGATTCAAAGTTTGTGATTAGAGAATAATAATGTGTGCTGGAAAAGTAAAGCAAAACTGGCAAATAACAAAGAAGCAGTGTCAATTTCTTTTCTTTCCGTTCTTCTGTCTGCTCTTTTTTCATCATTGGATTGCCACTAGCAATCAAGCAATTCACGTCGATGCTCGTTTCAGTTACCATGTTTGCCTGTCGATCTTTGACAACGAGTCTCGCATTCAATAAGAGAGTATTTCTTTAATAGATGCGCAATCGTGTTACATATTCGGTGGAGGCAAAGTGTCGCCAGAAGAAAACTATGTACACATCGATTGAATTGTTCTTCAAATCGAGAATAGAGCGAAAGCAAAAGCCGTTCTGCGATGCCAATCGTTGTACGAAGACATTTGTCTCTCGGTTATTTTTAGCACGAATGATGTTTGTTTGGAAAACGGTGCAGGTTGAGTTAATTAAGTTTCGAGTCGAGAGATTTATTGATCGTTACTGGCTTTTGTCAATATTGAATGATTCGTTTTAATGTACAGTATACTTTGGAAAAAAAAGGGAACTTCAATGGTTTTACACTTCAGATTATTGGGCTGATCATTAGTTTTCAGTTGCAGAGAAATCGTCTGAATGGATTTTCATGTTATTTTTAAAAAATTGAGATGAATTCTTTCACTTTGCCAATCATTCTTATGAATACAAATCACGGAATAATGAGCAAACAAAAGTGACTTGTAACGCGCTCGATACGAACGGTATTGCCTATAAAAAATAAATAATAATAATAAAAGGAAGAGCGACGAGAGAAGAATAATACGAAACATCACTACTGCTGCTACCACCACCATTGGCAACATAGTGACGTGCATACATTCATACATATACATACTCTCGTAGAAGAGAGAAACTTGAAAAAAGGTAGTTAGTTAATTTTTTTTCACTTCTCGACGACAAGTGTTCTGTGTAAATTGTCTTTACGTCTAAGTATTTTGTATATGTTTGTATGGTAATTAGTCTTATTCAAACTTGTTAGAAATTGGCTTCGAATTATGAATATGCATGAAGTTAAGCAACCAAAAGAAAGTTTACAAGATCAATTGAAACTGGCAAAAGAGGAAATTCATAGTTTACAACAACAACTAAAATGTCTTTTTGATCTAACGAAAAGGTAGGTCAGCTTCGGACATTTCTGCCCACCTATATTTTCGTTTAGTGCTTGGCATGGTGATCAGTCTGCGATTATTCACTTAGCCGAATTAATTGGTTAGTTGTGCTTATGACATTTCTTATCTTTAGTACATTTGATTTCATTTTTTGCAGGTGTTGATCCTGAAATCGAACGAAATGCTTTTAACGAAAAGAAAATCGCGCCAGTTCCTTCAACGAAGAAAACAGTTACGATTGCTGACAATGAAGAGATTTTATCTAAAGTAAACATGCTCGTTGGCGAACATTTCGAATTTTGATTGTGTTCCACACAGCGCTCGGCAAGTATATCAAGCACAATTAGTCATGAGGACCGACGAGAACAGAAACAACGACAACAAAAAACAGCAAATGCTTTGGCGGCTGCTGCTCGGTCAGTCGATGAATTGATTTGATAAATTAGGAAAATCGACTCATTTTTTCCGTTAGGAATGCATATTTACAACCGTTTCTTAAACAAAATCATATCGATCCTGTTCGCGAACAAAATACTCGACAATTACTTATGAGTATGATGCGCTATCGACAAGTACGCTGATGCAAAGAACGAATTTATCACCGAACATTTTACATGCGTTCGTTTAGAGCGAAACGCGTAATCCGCCGAGTATTCCAACTAGTCGAGCTTCGTCAGCCAGTGTTCGACCACGCGCCACAAAACATCTCTATCATTTAGCTTCACCTGATCATGTTGTTAAACATCTGGGCAGTCCAGCAAGTCGTGCAAAACCATACTTCGTCTTCGCGGGCAAAGAATTCTTCCAACAAACAGCTAATTATGCACCGTTGTATGAAAAAGGGTTCATTACCGAAGTAAAGCTCAGATAGTTCATTAATTCGTTCTATTTTCTCATCTGAATTCAATTAGAACGGATCACGACATTCAGAACATTCCAGTTCTTCAGATGACTTAAACTCAATTCCATCACCAACTGCTGAGCCAGGTTGCTTTCAATGATCTTTTATGATTATTTATACTGTTTTACTTTAGTTATCGGTCGTCCACATACTGCTAAATCTACGCAACCATTTGCTACTCTTCGATCTAGTGCACAATCAAGACAAAGTGAAAATCCAGCAAGAATATCATCAGCAAAATCAACAACGATGAGTGAACGCGATCGACGTGACGCCATGCGACTTCAACGACAGCTTAATATACCTCGACAAGGTTGGGTGAACCAATACTCTTGATGTACCTGTGTGTTTTTAAAGTGAACTATTTTACTTTGTTCTCTGTTGATATTACGAATAAAAACAAATGCTATTCGATAGATAAACATTCGTTTGTAGTACTTTACAATATGATTATCAGGAAAGCCCCCACAACTGCAAAGTGTGCCATTCTGTTTCACAATCGACACTTGCACAGAATGAAAAAAAAAAGATTTTATAAGACGTAGAAGAAAAATCGTTCTTTTTTGTCTTAGTAACAATCACATATACACTTCTGATTCTACTCTTTCATCTCTTGTTACGTTACTCCATTTGCCAATGACGGAGAACTCAGCCGCATGGCCAGCTAAACTCGATGAAAATCAAATCAAAGATCATTCGGATATACCTATTCACCATAAAACCAATGAAGAGGTGAATAAAGACGTCTATGGCGCTCCAGGTGATGTAGCCACAACAGTCACACAAAAGACGTCTGCAGAAAAAAATACATCGAACGATGCGTCTAACTCTCGAGCTGATCAGCCCCAATCCTCTACAAATGCTAGCGCTGTTAATCAAGAGAGTGCTAATCGACCGAAATAGTTCATCGCATGAACATGATCTGTAATCATTCCTCTCAAATGAATGTTTTATCTGAACACGAACAGTTGCGTCATTCTTTCGTTTCTTGTTTTATAATGATAGATATACTTTACATTAATCTTGCATCTGATAATCGTTTATGAAATAAAACTTCAAATACTATCATTGTCTTTTGTTATTGAACTTTGGTCGTCTAAGGTAACATGGATCATCAGACTGATGATAGAAAGCAAAAGTAAATGTTGAATCATAGTTCATCAGATTTGAATGTCATCATGAACTTCACAGATTGTACAATTCGAAGAATGTCTATCACCCTTTCCATGTAAACCATAACATTCTTGTTAGGTCATTTTATGATGATCATATATATTTGACAAGTATTTTGTACGATTTCGATGAATTTATCCG